AGCGAGTGGTCAATGGTCATTAAACACTTAATCACAAATGAACCAGTCTACAGAAAAGCAAGACTGGCTCTGATACCAAACTGTAACGCCCCGTTTTTATTTTAAAGAATTTGTCGAATTAATTAATAAAAATCAGAGTTTTTTTTTTTTAAATCCAAGTTAAAACCTTTATCGAGAAACGGGCGCTACTTACTAACAGACAAACAACACACATCCAACAATTCAAGGTACCTATACATGCTCGAGCTAACGATATAACAAATCCCATAAAACATAATTCTCAAAACCATTTCAAAAGGTCTAGCATTATTCAAGGTTCAACCAACTTAAACATAGTTCGAAAAGTGAAAGCAGTAAATAATCCAAGACATAATGGCAAATAAATAAATATCAAGTTTATACGGAAGCATAGGTTTTCAACACATAATGACCACCATCTCGCTCGTCCTACGCCACCGCCTCCAGCTCGTCTCAACCTAAAACAAAGGAAGAGAGAAAAAAAACAACAAAAAAATAATGGGGGTGAGCAACCAACTAGCTCACCATTATCGCACGGTTATCTCGTATAATTATTTTTAAAAGCAGTATCACGGTAAACAATATCAGTATCGATATGCACAGAATTCATAGCCTAAACCGCCTACCCAGCCCTGTCGCAAACCTCCTATGTACATACAACAACCTTCCGGATACAACGGCATGGCTGTAATTGGAAACATTCCCACCCCCGGGTACTACGGTTCGTAGGATCTTTTCCAGGAGACAGCAGAGATGTTTTTCCCCTTCCGGATACGACGGCATGGGGCGTCCCTCCCGGATACAACGGGCAGGCGACCTCCTACTGCTTTCGCATTCATCAAGGCACTAGCGTTCGGGACACTTAGACTAGAGTTCTCATGCATACAAAAATTTCCAAAAGAAACATTACACGAAATAATAAGTGCGATAATTATGGATACAACACAAATGTACCCACCTGATTTTAGCAACAGATCACAGTCACAAATCTCGAAGTGAGGCAAGGTCAACACCTCTAGACACCTACATAAATCCAGGTGCTACAGTCAACACTTTACTTTAGACCCATTTAGCAAAATCACAATTTGACTTAGTCGAACTCGGTTCGACCAAGTGGTTCATGAAGTTCTGTGGATATGGAAACTCTAGGACTTAGACTCGATCAAAACACACATTCAATTTCACATAATCACCAATGAATGCCAATCAAACAGGTCACAAATAAATATGTAGCACATTTAGTCAACAACACTTAACAACTTTCAGTATAGAAAAACAATTTCTCAATTTCCCACTTGAACTTGAAAGCATATCAAACTTATGAGTCAGGCTCAGAAAATTTTACACAAAATTCACCTCCTAGTTTTAAGAAAAATGGCCAAGTTTCAGCTTTCAACTCATTGTACATGATTTTATAAAATTCAGACAAGTTTTTCTACAAAAGCGAGTTTAAATTAAAAGCACATGATAATGGATGATTCAGGCCACGAAATTTTTATCTAAAATTTTAAAGCATAGGAACAGAAACATATAAAAATACCAGGTTTTAACACTCAGCAAGTGATTTTATAAAATTAAAACAACATTCAGCCAAGTATTGCACTTATAACAGAACCGAACTCAAATGAACTCCAAAATTTCAAAAATTTTTACAGAATGCTGAACATTACATAATAAGCACCTCCACAAATTTTCAGAATTTTTCAGCTTCAGAAAAATTTATAACAATTAAAACAAAATCGGATAGAAACACCATATAAATCATTAACTCTATCAAACCCAGTTCAAAACTTCTAAAATATTTATACAACATATAATCATGCCTGAGACACAACATATTCAAAAATTAGCCAGAAAAGAAAACTACACTATTACTTATGAATTTTACAAGAAACTGAACAGAATTCGAATTAATTTTTAAGAATAGCTTAACACCTTTACAAATCATGAATATTTTACAGCAGCTACATATTCACCAAACACAGCTGCTCCTAAAATTTCAAGGAAATCGGACCAGTAATCAATTTATAATGAATTTTTCAATCTAAACAAAAATTATAACTTTCGAAAAATCATAACTATCAATCTACAAGTCCGATCGACACAAGGTCAACGCCATTGTGTTCGTAAAAATCCTAGGTTCCTAAATCCACAACAATTCATCATTTATACTCAGTTCTCGCTCGATTCGCATGAATCGACGAGTTCGGCATAAAAATCACAACTATATAATATGCACATCATCACATTTAACATGATTACATCCAAACACCTCAATCGACATGAACACACACACACACACTCACGCAAAACCGAAAGGCACAACCACAAGGATATTAACGTAAGATAGACGAGGAGTCTAGAATCGATACCGTTCTCGGGAAACGAGCGAGAATGGGTTCGAACGGGCTCGACGGTAAATTCGTCTTGCGAAAGAGAAAGGCTCAACGTGCACGGGGAAGAGCTCGCTGCTGCGGGTCACGGTTGTGAGAGGAGCAGTAGGGTCACCGGAGGAGGAGCTCGCGGCAGCGCTGAGAGGTTGCCGAGGGGACACCTTGCGGAGGAGCAGCGGCAGGTCGCGGCTTCGCTGTGGTGGTGCACGGCCAGAAGATCTTCACGTGACGGGGCTCACGAACAGGTGGGGAGTGGTCGGAGGGGTTGGCTGCGCGAGTTGCTGAGCGCCGGTGACTCGCCGGAATAGGGGCTGGCTGCGGCGGCGCGAGGTGGTTTCGACGTCGCAAGCTCGAGGGCTGACTCGAACTCGCCGGAAAGACGCGCACAGAGGTCGCCGGAGGCTGGTCGCGCGAGTTGCTGCACCAGAGTTGATGGCGGCGACGGGAAGTTGATGATGATGGGAGGATGACGAGGGTGATGATGGCAGGAAATCCCAAAAACAAAAAGGGAGGCTCGATGATGAAGGTGAGGGTCAGATTTGAGAAAATCGAAAGAAAAGTTCACGCGAGGAAGACGAGTTCTCTCTGCTCTGATCACGATCGGGACAGAAAAAGAAAAAAAAATAAAAGCTGCGGGAATGGTTTGAGAGGGGGACCGAGCAAGGAAAAAAAAAATATATATGTGATATTAGGTTTAGGGAAAAGTCTTGATACACAAGAAATCCCAAACACACACACACGTGAAAAACAAAAGGAGAAGGGAAAAAAATTCTGCAGGGCCGGGTCGAGGGTCAGCCCGAAAAATGGGCCGAAGGCTTGGGCCGGATTTTCGTGTCTCTTGAGCTGGGTTTACGATATTAAATCGGCTCACGGGTCCGATTTCGGTTCCAACGAATATTCTCGGGCTCGATTACGATTCACGCGAATATTCTCGGGCCCAACATCGATTCAAATGCACGATAAAATAAATCGAACAACAAATATATTTTATATTTATGTTAATACACATTATACACATTTTATAATTTATCACGAAAATAAAATTGGATTATCGGCTCGGGTTCTCCGATTACTAATTTCGATAGCTCCAATCGATCGCACGATAAATAAACAAAACTCCGGACAATATAAATTAAATACGTACATTGATTTTAAAATACTAATATTATTAATCAAAATATACAATTAGCAATTAATTGGCAATTAGGCATATACTATTTAGACATTCAAATTTACAAGCAATAATTAATAATAATAATAATTAATAATAATAATAATAATAATAATAATAATAATACTAAATAATCATAAATAATTCTCAAATAAACCACAATTAAATGGGGCATAACAGTTACCAAGTAAAAAGATGTCGGAGAAGGATCAAGTCGGAATTACTAAAAACATTAACAATATCAGCAGCCATTATGAAGCCTGAATACCTACTAATGTTGGGGGCCTCTCTGTTGATATCCGACTTGATTTCCCAAGATTAATTAAGGGATCGATTATTCTGTCTTGTTAATGGTCCTTTAAATTTATTTTTGGCAACAAACTCAGCTCAACTCGGAACAAATACACGATCGACGACTTTAAAAACAACTGAGGCAATAACCGACCAATCGCCTAAATCTCAAGACCGACTTCGCACTAAAGACAAGGAAACCAACCTCGAAAATATTTCTATTAAAAATTATCCATTAGACCGAGATCCGAGAAGATCGAATTCCCAAGCAGGAGGCACTGTACGCTTTTAACCATAAAGTCAAAAAATAATCATTGATGTTCCCTTATTGCATTACATGCCGCTTTATTGAAGCTGCTCAACATTAAATGCGATCTGATCTACCTCGAACAAAAAGACAAAATCACCGTACTATAAATAGCAGAATTTATGACTATACAAGGGGATATTTTTCCGCACATTGTACACGGACTATAAAAACATCTCGGTTGCTGACAAAAACCGACTTCCTGTACTCTTGTGAAATCATTAATAATACAAATAATTTACACTTATATCCTGTTAATTACACCTTGCTTTTGTTTATGTGAGTTGTTAAATTTCATACAACAACAGACTCAAAGTCAAGTAAGTATATATGCATAACTTACAGGTCAATATTAACTCGGATATAAATGAAATAGTCAATTATTTATAGTTTAACAAATTATTCAACTATTTAATTTTTTTGATTTGGATAATTTATATAAAAATAAATTTATTTTAAATAATGAAACAATATAAATTTTATAACTATACTTATTATCCACATAAAATTTTAAATATATAATAGAATTTAACCAAAATAATTATTTTATGGAATCACATTGTAGTCAAAATCGAATTTTTGAATAAAATTTTAAATGACACTTATTTCGAAAGGAATATAATATAATTAATTAATAGTTATGTGCACAGTACATATTAACCACTAATTTTAAATAGACATGTTGTATATAATTTTTCACAATTTAAAGTTTATATAATATTTTCAACAAATTAGTATAAATAAATTATATTACATGATTCATATTTTTAATTTATAAATATTAATAATTACTAGTGGTTTCCAAAATGTTCAAGCAATTCCCACGGTAAAGTGAGGCACAGAACTATCTCCATCAGTGCCTACTGTAAAATTATGTGTGAGAGAGAGACTGCTTGGCCACCCATCTGAGACTCTCAGTTCCATACGTTTCTCTTTACTAGAACAGCAGAGGTTTGTTTTCCCCTTCTCCTGTTGAGCATCCTATTTTGTTGCTCTGGCTTGATTAGAAGCATCACTCCATTTCCTGTATTTATCGCACATGTGCTTCCTGATAGATAGCGTAATGTTTATGTTCTGATGTTTTTGGATTTCAGTCGATTCAATTCATGTTTTAGGTTAGATCTGGCTGGAGTTGGCTTTTAGACGTTGTAAATTATGCTACCTTTCATTTTGTATCTACTGTTAAAGCTGTATTTCTCCAAGTTCCTCTGGTTAGCATTGTTGCGATAAAAAAAAAATAAACATATGAAAAGAGTTATGTATGGAGACACTGATTGCATTCTGACTGCGAAAGAGCAAAGAGTACGTATGGAAAAGGCACTGTTCTAAAAATCGGCCTAGGCGGTGCCCGGGTGCCTCCGATTTGTACAAATCGGCAGAAAATCGGCCAAGTGTCTAGGCGGTGCCTAGGCGCTCCTAGGCGGCCTTGGCGGGCTCGGCGGTCAGGCGGCGTCTAGGCGGACCTAGGCGCTCCTAGGCGGGTTGGGCGGCAATTTTTCAATTTTTTTTTTTTTTATTTTTAATTTTTTTTTTTTTTTTTAAATACTAATTACATTATTTTGTTCTCATGTTTTCTTTAATATATATTAATATTATTATTTGGACTTTGATGTGTGAATTTATTATATGTTGAGATAATTTTATTTTGTAGGTAGTTAAAATAAATAAAAAATAAGGTATTTACTATTGATTTCTGGGCCCCGACTAGGCGCTAGGCACTGGTCGAGCGCCTAGCGGGTGCCTAGCGACTTTTAGAACACTGGGAAAAGGTCAGACTTGTACATTTTACTCTATCACCGTCATGTCTTGGGAGGATGTACTACCGACTTCATAGTTCAGTTTCACAATATATTTCGGCACTTTGTGAACATATGAGTTGGAACATGTGGTGATATATAAGAATTTTTCCTTGGAGCCCTTGTTTCGATATGCTTCTTCTCCCTTTTATTGAATTATTTATTAATCATTATCAAAATTATTTTTTTCTGGGAGTTTGGTGAATAATTGTGGTGTTCTTATATTCTTGAAATAATTGATGATTGTGGAACACTTTTTCTAGATGCTATTTCATATGGATTGGTTCTACAACGTATGAACTGCATGTTCTCCCTAATTTGTAATTTCTTGATAACATTCCTCACAACTCCTTCCTCATTGCATTAGGGCTCATGTTTCTTCTCGTGCTTATTTTCATTATGTTATAAAGTATTTGTGTTTTTAGCAATATTGTGCTGATTGTGTCTAAGCAGGTTCCATCACTTAGGCTGTAGTTAGAAAAGCCTACGAGCCCACCTCTAAAAGTTTGTTTGGATTGGGTAGAATCACTTTCATCCAGCAGATACATGTGATGGCAGAGTTAGTCCAACGGTTATACGTGGCTTGAGGTTGAAAGATTCCACTATTACTAAAAGCAGTAACGTGCCAGTTTTATAGGCTTAACTTTGTACACAGTCATGGAGAAAGATAATTCTCACAAAGCTGGTGAAGGTGTTGATAAGTTTTGCGCGACTGCTGAGAATGAAGAACCACGAGATGATAGCTCATGTCGTAGTATGTCCTCGGAGGCTGGAACTGCTACTTGCCGAGTTTGTCAATGTGTCGAACCTGATAGAAAGGGCAATATCGCTCTGGGATTTTTGGGTATATCTCCACCTCCGTCTAACCTCGTGATTGCCGACGAGGAATTGAATCCTAAAATATTTGCCTCAGAAAATACTGAAAACAATTCCTATTACAGAAGTGAATCGAGAGGATTAGAGTTCGTTGAGTTTATCAGCCCGAAAGGAGAGGTTTTTATTTGTAATGCCGATGTAGAATTAGGCTTGGATAACAGTCAGGATAGGCTAATTGAGCTTGGATGTTCCTGCAAAGGTGACCTTGCTTTAGCACATTATGCATGTGCTCTTAAGTGGTTTATCAACCATGGATCAACTGTCTGCGAAATCTGTGGATTCGTGGCAAATAATATAGGATCTGCCGATTTCAAAAAGGTACTAGGTTCTCTGAAAGAATATGAAGCTTTACGAGAAAGAATTGTTAACGGTCAGCCTAACCCTGCACCAGCCCAGGTAAGTCACAGTGTGGATCCTGATGCTGTTGCTGCAGTTCGGATGCAAAGGTTGAGTGAAATTTCATTGTGGTTCAATCCTCATAACAACAGCTCTGTAGCTGTTTCCCATATGGTCAGTGAACAACAACCTTCAACTTCTGTTACAGTCATGGAAGAAGTACCACCTGTTGAAAATACTGCTACTAAGTGGGCTGTGGAGGGTACTGGGATCCTGCTTGCTACGGGCCTGCTGACTGTTACTCTTGCATGGCTCCTGGCTCCTCATGTTGGAAAGGTACTTGGAATTGTTTGTACATTTTGTGACTTCTCAATTGATGTGTTTGTATTGTTGGAATGTTGGTTATTCGTCTGGGGAACTCTGGTATGGTTACTGATTCTTCTTGTAGAAGAACTGCATTGTAAGTGTAGTATAGCATAAGATAAGCTCCGAGTTTGTGCATGTTGCGAGTGTGTGAGTAGTGTATGTTTTTACTACTATACAAATTAAAAGGTGATGAATGCTTGTAACCCCATATAATGGTCAAAAAGTTTTCATTGTTGTGTTGGTTGTGATGTGGCTTTTTCTTATGAAAGATTATCTCTGAACTGGAAATTACCTAAAACTAGCTAGATTACTTTCTCTTTTGGCCCTTTCAATTGCTGTGCTAAGTTCAAGTTGCTACGGGTCTGTGATAACGAAATAGAGGCTAAGGGCATGCTTGTTTATAGATTTTTTTGGTTTTGATTGAGTTTTTTGGTTATTCATAGTTAATATTGAAAAAGTTGGTTGAGTTAGGTTTGAGTGGAATTTTGAATTTATATTAATATAATGTTTAAATTAAAATAATTAAAGTTGATTTGATATAAAAGTAGGAGAAAAGTAATTAGAAGTGATAGGTAGTTAAAATTGTGTGAGTGGATGAATACTGAATTAAAGTTGATTTGATTTGTAAGGATGATTGGTTGGTATTATTTAGTTATATTGATAATATTGAGGATACTAGGTGTTGAGTTAAATTTGAGTTTGGATTGAAATTTTTTTGAAAAAAATTTATAAACAAACAAGTTCTAAGTTAGTTCTGACTAGGGCTGCAAATGAGCCGAGCCGAGTCCTTATCGAGCCGTGGTCGATTTTTTGTACACCTGCTCATCCTGTGTTGCGAGGCTCGGATTGACTCGACAACAAAACACAAACGCTCGAGATCAAGCATACAAACTATAGGCTCGAGCTCAAGTTTGAATTTGAAATGCTGGAGCTCGTGCTCGAGCTAAAGCTCGGTAAAACTCGAGCTCTAGTCGAGCGCTGACTTGAAGCGCTTGCGAGCCGCTCGACTCATTTGCAGCCCTACTTCTAACTTATATGAGACGACAAATTTGTCGAGCCACATGATTATGCTTGTCACTTCAAGCTTAGAGATGGTAATCCTAAAGTTTAACTTCAAAAAACCATACCTCGTGCATAGTGAGAAAGGTGTGCAAAAAATGGTTCAGTATATTGGAGTAATATTAGATTGCTCTTTTATTATTTGTTACCGAAGGTTATAAACCTTGAGTCTTTGACGATCCACCAATATGCTGTGGAGGTAGGACCAGCTAAAAAGAAAAATTGAAAAACTGAACATGCAGAACATTTACCTCGGAAAGATACGTCGGCTTGGTTCTGTTCAATTTGGATGACTTCTTTAGAAACAATTACCAATATATCGAATTATATTGTTGGATCTAGTCTTAGTAATATCTTTGACGCTTGAAGCGCATCTAAAACACCTTTTTGTTTCTTTGCTCAAAATGCACCTTTCCATTGACCATGAAGTGTTCGAAACTCAATTGAATATCGGGTTTGCCAAATTTGATACTAATAAGGAAGAATAGACATGGTTTGGGAAACATGGTATGAATCAGATTTGAGCATAGCCTAGTGGCACATTATGTGTTCCACCACTCACTTTCTTGCATTCTATTGGTTTGCTCATGCTTGCCTTGCCCCTCGGGGTGGCAAATCATTTATGCCGGTATAACAGTGTGGCAGCAGGCTTATTTGGCCTAATATCCAGCCAATCACAAAAAACAATGAAGTAAGAAAAGTGCATCGGTACATGGTAGGCATAATTAGCAAACGTTGAATTTTGCTCTCATTTTGAAGTCACAACAGTCAATATGAGGAAGATCTGCATCGGTTCAATGATGCTCCTAGGAAGTAGCCATAATTCGTTAGTGCTTGTTTCCTCACTCAGTGTTAATACTTGGGCCACAAAATCGTCCATTTCGAATGGCGGCAAGACCATTAACGTTGGCTATTCACCAAGCGTGCTTTTAAAATGTGTCTTAACGACTTAACCTCATAGGTGCAACTGTACAAGGTATTATTGTGTGTCCCCCAGAAATTAATGCAGTTCTGGTTGTTGTTAATATGTCATATGATACTTTGTGGACAAACAAGTGGCTAAATCATATTTCAAACAAGTATCTCATGGCTTTAAAGTTCAGCCAGGTATACATTCGTTCTAAAATGATGTTTATTCCTGTAAGGACAAACTTTGGAACTTTATTTTGGTTGTAATACATGAAATATTGAATTGATTGGGTTCTGTAAAGCAGTAGATGGTGTGGTCCCTGCAAACTTTGCATTTCAGTTTTTTTGTCTGTAAGAAACTCGTAATAACAGTGAATTCATCGTGCATTATTTTGCATTTCAGATTAATGCATAAACAATGAGACAAGGTTACATTCTATTTTTGAAACTCTTTATTGTAGCTTGGCTTTAATGATGTATGACTCTTTTTTATTTGCAATTATTATTATATAATGACTATCTTTTATTCCCGGTTTGGTATGTATGATAAGACTTAGAAATTTTAAATTTTCATATTAATAATACAAATATCATATTATATGATATATTTTTGGTTTTTTATATAATTTCCATATCCTAGCCGTATCTTGTACTAAACTTTTAAAATTTGGTATATTGCTATATCCAGGTCATATTGTATCTGATACCCGATATGTATATCTGTGCAGCATAGGTTTCACACAGTTTTGTGTTTTCTATTTAGAAAGTCATTTCCATTCTAGTTGCCTGTTATTCTCCTGAAATGATGTTTAATTGAAGTATCTGCCTTTTATTTATTTATTTGCAGAAAACTGCTAAAAATGGCCTGCATATTCTTCTAGGAGGCGTTTGCGCGTTGACAGTTGTAGTTTTCTTCCGATTTGTAAGTTCAGTTACTTGTTATTTTCTTCATTGTAATATTAGGAATTTGTTATGCTCGATAGGTCTATATGTCAGGATCACTGACAACTCATGAAAATTCTACGTTGGTTATTACCATAGAATGCTCTGCATTGTGAAATCTGAAGGTAAGTTTACCGTGTGTTTGATGTTTACAGTGTGTTATATGATTTTGTTTCGTTGACCCACTCGTGTAAAATGCTTGACACATTCAGGTGGCTATTATTACTTACATGATACAAAAGAGCAACTTATTTTTTAAAAAGAAAATAAAAGCAAGATAGAAAATTATGTTTTCACTTAAGTTAATATGACGATTTTTTTTGCATGCCAGTGAAACCAGTTTCCTGTTTTCTATATGAACATTATAGACAAGAAGATTTGATGTACTCATTACTTCACAGAGATTTTGATCTGGGAACTGGGTAAAAGGATTCTAGGTGCCTGACTTTGCTTTTGAGCTTATTTTACATTAAATAGATTCACAATATGTTGAACAGCAGAATCTGAATGGCTTTTTTGGATTTGGGGGCCGAAACTAACTTGCCACTATAGCTGCGTAGCTAGTCCACTTCTGGACATTTCCTAGCGTTTTATTTGTAGTGAATATAAGTTCAAATTTTCTCATTATTTTGTGTTGTTTTACTTTGCAGTCATATGGGTTTGCGATTTTTGTTAATTCTTGATTTTGATTCTGANAATGAGGTTACTCCTGTTATATCTCCTGCTGATAGAAAGCTTTCGATTTTTGTTAATTCTTGATTTTGATTATTTACTGGCTTTTAGAAAAAAATAAAATAAAAATTTTGAGGTTACCCTGTTTATATCTCCTGCTGATAAAAAGCTTTCTTCGTACTTGTGCAGTTTGTTCTAACCAGAATCAAGTACGGGCCTGCTAGATACTGGGCCATCTTGTTTGTATTTTGGTTTCTTGTGTTTGGGATATGGGCATCAAGAACACACAATGCTCATGCAACGTGATCTTTTTTTCCTCAGCCCTTCCACTTTGCTCTCTATTTTTCCTCTTGTTGAGTTGTTGGTGAGGTGTCTATTTATTTATCAATACACTTCATTCGTGTAATTAGTGATTGTATAATCTGTTTGTGCTGAATATTTTGTTATGAATGATGAGCATTACTATAGATAAACAAGTTTGCTTCTGCTTTTGTATTGAGTTTTTCAGTCTGCATATTGATTATTGACAACGTTCCAGTTATTAGTAGGTTAGTTAT